GAGCACCTGTGCCTGGCACAGGAGCACCTGGAGGTGGCCTTCCATCTCCAGCCACTGCCGCGGCCCCCCAGCCCTGCCTGCAGCAGCAGCCCTGAGGCCAACGGCATTGCCACTGAGCAGAACCGCCTCAACCTCGCCCATGAGAAGGGGAGTGCCACCTGCGACAGGACCACAGGTGAGCTGGGTGACAGGGACCCATGCGACCGACGGGTGAGGGGCATAGGGGCTGCCCCCAGGGTCCCTGGGGAGGGGATGCCATTCCCTCCAGGGTGGGTACTAGCCTGCCTCTTCATCCCCTCAGGGCTGTGAGTGCCATCAGGGATGACGGTGGAGTCTGCTGGAATGCCTGCCACCACAAGACAGACAGCCTGCCAGGAGCACGGGATGGAGGATGGTGTGTGCCTGCCCGGCGGGGCTGGCTGTGCAGCCCTGTGCCGGTGAGCAATGGAAGGGATGGGGGCCTTGGGGGACATTCCTACTCAATTTTCAAAATGGGAATATCTTATTTTTGTACATTTTTATAAACTTGTCAGTGTGTGCACCCTGGCATTTTTATATTCTCCCCATTATCTCTGCTCTGGGCCTGTGCCCCCTTCCCCCTCTCCCATTTCACCCCCTTTTCCTCCTTCCACCCCCATTTCCTGCAGCATGTTCCCCTCACACCCTGTGCCCTCCCTTGCCTGCTGCCAGCTGGGTTGTGCCTGTCAGGCCATGCTGGCAATGCTGGTATTGACCCCACAGTGTGGGGGCTTAGGGGACTGAGCCTGGGGGTGTGGCTGGCTGGGCTGAACCATGGGGCAGGACACTGGCCTGGCATTCCGCTTGAGGTGTAGGGGACAGAAGGGGTCCTGGTGGCAGCGCTGCCAGAAAGTGGTGGTGCAGCCAGGGGGGCTGTGCTGTGCTGTGCAGCATCCTGGCACAGGGTTGTGAGCTGTGGGGCTGGCCAGCTCAGAAATGTGTGTGCAGAGGGCAGGGTCTGTCCTTCCCACTGCCTCCACCCCACTCGGCTGGCTGCCTTTGGACCAAAGCCCATGCCCTCCCGCTCTGGCCATTGGGCCAGGACCCCCTGTGTGGGGCCGGACCCTGGTTCCATGGTGGGGGGGAATACCGTGCCCCGGGCCAGGCTCCGCTGGGAGCCAGTGGGGCATTTCTCATCATCTCAGCCTGGGTCACACGAGGAGTTTTGTAGCGTTGTTTTTTACTAAGAAATGCTTGTCACTCTGTTTTTTCTTCTTTTCTTATCTATATTAGTAAAGGCTGGAGACGTTTTGTACTGAACTGCTGCATCCGGTCCTTCAGGAGGAAGGGGTGGGAAGGGAATCCTGCATAGCTGGGCTGAGGCGGGCAGAGCAGCCGCCTGTCCTGGGACCTCCCTGTTCACCCAGGATGACTCAGTCGTTCCTTCTGTGCGTGCAGAGGCTCAGCCTCCATCGGCCTGGCGGAGCGGGATTGTTCCAGCCGTGTTCCTGCATCCTGTCCCCAGCAAGAGGCCTGGTGAGGGGATTCCCCATTCCTTCCGATCCTGCTGCAACTGGGAGCAGAAGGGATGCTGCCCTGCCCTGGGGCTGAATCTAGTCCAGCTGTGCCATGCCAATTTTGGCCAGCACATCCCAGTCCCGTCTTGGGGACTCCTGGAGGGAGCTGGACACCTTTTGCAGCACTTGCCTGTCCCCTCCCTCCTCCAGCCAAAAGCCCCTGGGGAGCTCACATCCCACTGCACAACTGCATGCTGCCTGTGATGGAAGCTGGCATTTCCAGGCTGTTTTGATAAAGGGAATAAGTTTATTTCTTTCATTCTGCTAAGCTTTCCAACAGGAGAGGGCTTGCTGCCAGGAGAGGGCTTGCTTGTAGCGCCACATGTGCCATCAGCCTTGGTATAAGTTCAAGGCTGTGGCATGGGCTCATCCAGGCACATGCTGATATCTGCTGCAGCAGCCTGGCCCTGCCTGGGAGCACAGGGAGGCACTGCAGCAGGAGCTGGACTCCTGTCTGGGGAGTTGGGTGGCAATTGGGTGAGGAGAGAAGATCGGGAGAAATAGGGGCTGAGCTGATTGCAGACAGCATGCTGGCTTCTGCCAGAGGCTGTGCGTATCCCTGCCCCACCAAGGCCCTGGGTTGCTCCAGGCTGGGACCTGCCCTGGGGCAGGTCTGGCAGCACGACCATACCCAGAACAGCCCAAAACTGCTGTGACTTGTGCAGGGGAGGGTGGCACAGCCCAAGCCCCACTGTCCCTCTGGTCCCTGTGGTATGAGGCAGGGAGCACTTGACTCCTGGGCAGGATCCTGGTCCAGGGCTGGGTTGTGGGATGCCCTAGATGCAGGTGCAGTCCTGGGCCAGGATGTTGGGCACTGTCTCGTACTTGAAGGAGTACCCGCCATCGGAGGTGGTGCGGACACGCAGGGAGCGCATGGTGCCAGGTAGGGCGGCGCAGCAGAGCTGCACACCCAGGCGGTGGCTCAGCCCGTGGCCCATGGTGCAGCTCCCATGGCAGTAGTGGAAAACGAAGCTGCTGGGATGCACGATCCAATTGTCCCAGCCCAGTTCCTCAAAGGAGATGTTAAGGGAAGCCCGGCGACAGTTGGTATGGGCGGCCAGGTCCTCAGATGGGCGCTGCAGCAGGCTCAGGGCAGCTGGGGACCAGGGCACGGTGGAGCGACGAGCCCTCTCACCACCCTTGGTACGGGTGGTGGCCACCAAGAAGGGCATCTTGTCCTCCTCAGCCAGGCAGGGGCAGCCAGGGCAGCGCACCAGGAGCATGAAGAGTGGCTGCGAGAGCTGGGGCAGCAGTGCTGGTGCGAAGTGAAACACGGTCCAGTGCTCAGTTGTCT